TGTGTGTGTGTGTGTGTGTGTGTGTGTGTGTGTGTGTGTAAGAACTTTCCAGAGAGGATTTGATACAGGGAGACCCGCAGTGACTGTGTAAAGCACGAGCCACTGTCCTGCCAGGCCTTCCCTGCCACCCCAGTCTGGAACCACTGTAAGTCAACACATCAAGTTGTGTGTCCCCGTAGTGTGCCAGGTGTCTGTCACAGAAATGGGAAGTGGCTAACATGATGACTATGAATTTTGAAACTGTTTTAAAATGACCTATTTGAGCAGGATGTAGAAGATGGACGGCATCCTCTACTAATAGTGACTTCAAAGCCAACTTGTACTACACAAGGGCTTGTCGCAAAAGCAAACAAAAAAACCTCCAACAATAAGCAATCCACCCCCTCGTTACCTTTGAAGTGGTGATCTTCTCCACTTCCAGTGCATAATCGAGCAGCGGGGTGGCGGGGAAGTGCTGTTTGACAAAGTCTTTGAGGATCTGCACTCGCATGTCTGGGTTGTTTATCTGAAAAAGACCCAGTTACAGAAACTGCCTCAGACACGGCAGGCAACGAAAGTGCTTGTGCTGCAAGTGGACAGAGCTGTACCTGTCCTATCCTGGAGCCAGCATGGGGACCTAACCTCTGTGTCCAATTCCTTGCAGCACCCATAATGACAATGCTGGGAGGCAGAAGGATTTTCAAATTCCCTTGTGTCTCACTAGGGCCTAGAAACAACCTCTGCAGTGATCTCTTTGTTACAAGAAAGGAACTAAGTCATCCAGATTTTCAGGAAGCTAGCCAGTATCTGTGGTGTTAGGTAGAGGGGGGTGGACTCAGTCACTCTCCACCCTGTTTGGGTCTGGCTACAAGCCAGGCTGCCCACCAGCTCTGTCATCTGGTTAAGCTACAGAAATATTCTGCACATGCTAGGAACAGGGCAGCAATGCACCCCAAAATCTTAGAAAAAAAATCTAGAACTGTGACATTGACAAATGACATCTGTTAAGAGTATATCCTGTCCTGGTTTGGGTTTTTTGTTTGTTTGTTTTGTCAATAAACTAGAGTTATTTGGGAAGAGAAACTTCAAATGAAAAGAGGCCTCTATCAGAATGGCCCATAGGCAACTTTGCTGGAGCATTTTCTTGATTGATGATTGATGTGGAAGGTCCAGCTGCTGTGAGTGGTGCCCCCTGGTGGTCCTGGGTTGTAGAAGAAAGCTGGCTGACCAAGTCAGTCAACAGTGTTCTTCCATAGCCTCTGCTTCAGTCCCTGCCATGAGTTCCTGCCCCAACTCTCCTCACCTAAGAGTTGTAAGGTGGCATAAACCCTTTCCCTCCCCAAGTTGCTTTTGACTGGGGTATTTTTTTATCACAGCAATTGAAACCCTAACTAAGCTGGGTGTAGTGGGGCAAGCTTTTAATTCCAGGATTTGGGAGGCAGAGACAGGATGTTCTCTGTGAGCTCGAGGCCCGCCAAGACTACATAAGGAGTTCCAGGACAGCCAAGGTGTAGAAGACAGACCCTGCCTCAATAAACAATAAGAAGAGAAGATGAAGAGAAGGAGGAGCCCTAACTAAGACAGAGACCCCAGACTGACAGTGGGTGAGTGAGATGACTCAGACACTCTAAATTCAACACCAGTGACCTGAAAGGACACACTACCAGGACATTCAGATGCCTGTCAGCCACGCACAGGATCACACTGTTTAAAATAGATCCCCATGGATCTATTCCAATTGGGCTTGCTTTAATAGTACTACTTTTCTGATGCAAACATGTCAACATGCTTGGCTTGCTTTAACCAATGAAACGTGAGTAAAGGGCTAGAAATGGGTCAGTGGGTTAAGCGACCTGCATCAAGCCTGACAGCCTGAGTTCCAGCCACATTGTAGAACGAAAGAACTGACTCCAATAGCCTGTCCTCTGACTGCCACACCCAAAGTCGCACACACCCCAGAGAGGCTTAGCAGGAATGACAGCCACAGGCAACCTATGGCAGATACAGTGTGGCTGCCATAGGCCACTGAGATTTGTGTAACACGAAGTACTATCTGGTAGAAGGTGATGGACGTTTCTCCTTCCTGATCATGGCTCTTTCTTCTACAAGTTCATTTGGAAAACTGAAGCTGAATGAATTGAGCACTCTGAGGGTCATCAATCTGTATGATGATGGGGAAAGTCACCTTGCATTTGATATCGGTCTACATGTCCCTAGCTACTCATACTGGGGGTCAAGAGCTTGAGTGTTTCTTTCTTTCTTGAAAGTTTTATTTTAATTTTATGTGTGTAAGTTTTTGCCTGCATGTATGCACCACCTGTGTGCTGGCATCCAGAATCCAGAAGAGGGTGTTGGGTTCCCTGGAACTATAGTTATAGTTGTGAGAGCTACCATGTGGGGGCTGGGAACTTAAACCCAAGTCCTCTTTAAGAGCAGCAAGTACTCTTTAACAGTGACGCCATCTCTCCAGGCCCAAGTGTTTCTAACTCAATTGACAACCTCTTGTCACTCCCTATTCCATAGATCTTAATGGGAGCAACAATTTACCGATTTCACGCGGTGGCCAATGCCCATGATGAGTTTTCCTTCCTTCTTCATCTTGTTCACAAACTCCATAGGAATAATGCCACTGTCAAAGGCTTTACTGAACATCTTCGCTGCTGCATCCAAGGCACCCCCAAACC